TTCGGACATGCTACAGGGAGACCTCAAATCCAACAGCAGAAACTGAAGGGATCGGGGATGTCCTCGCCCTGTGCAGTCCACTCTGCCCGGTGGGAGCCCGATGCAAAGCGTTCCAGGAGCGTGAAAGAAAAAAAAAAAAAAAAAAGAAAAAAAAAAAAAAAAAAAAAAAAGGAAGGAAGGCTTCCGAGCATAGGAGTGTGAGGTGCCAGAAGTGGACGGGCTGGCACAGTGAGGAGAGAGGGGTTCCCTCACCTCACTGCTGTCCTACGCCCCAGCCTTTTCCTGCCCCCACCCCTGATCCCCATTCTTCATGTCTGTTTATTACCAGATACCCCCCATCCTCCTGACACTCTCACCGTGCCCAGATGACCCAAAAACCAGTTCCGCTTAGGGGCCTGAGGGAAGCATCTAAGGCGGGCGCATTTCTCATGGAAGGAGTAAGCCCAGGCCAGAATTCTCGCCACGAGCCAAGAAGCCCCGAAGAGCAGCAGAAGATGCCATGAGGAGGCCAGCACTGGGCCCAGGCCCAGGCACGACAGGTTCCACGCCTGCATCCTGCAGGGCAGATGAACACAGGTGAGATTCCCAGGCCCCGGAGAGCAAGCCGGATCTCTGCATAATCACTCCAGCGCTATGAGCTGTGACTGTGGATTGGGAGGACGGCAGGGATGGAGGCGGAGACGTGGGGCCTTGCTGGGAGAGCGGAGTGAAAGCCGAGACCGAACAAGACCGGGAGGGACTAACAGAGGCCACTGTTTAGCGTCTAGAATGGACCAGCATGACGCTCAGGCTCAGTTGCCCAGAAACCACTGATCTGCTGGCCCAGCTAGCTTCACAGAGCCATCCAAGTTGTAATAGAGTTGTTTTTAGAGCCAGGACCCTCCCTGCCAGCCCGCAGCCTGGTACCTTCTCTCAGAAGCAGCTTGTGCCGGAGCGCCTCTCCTCTCCTCTGGAACTTATTTGTCCCCTGTTTCTGACCCACAGTAGCTGTGTGGATGCCTGGACTGAATGAATCAACCCCTCCCAGGGTCAGCTGCTTATACACACACACACACACACACACACACACACACACACACACACACACACACACACGCCCCTGAGATGGCAGTCTGGGCTCAACTCAGGTTGGACTCTGACCCGGTAAATACTCCGCATTCCTCAGAAATCTTGAAAAGTGGGCTTCTGTTTGCCAGGAAAAGCCATTACATTCTTAGCACCCCCACAGCCCCCCAACCTCCAGAGAAGGCATCCAGTTCTTTATTAACTCAAGCAAGCCTCCAGCGGATCAGAGCCCCCACACTAGCTCTCAGGCTGCTGCAGCTAACCTGTCCTCTGCTGCAAAATAACCCCTATACGGGCAGGACTCTCTCATCCTTTTTGCTGTCTTCTCTGGCCTAGCTGGGGAAACAAACCTGGAGGATAAGAAGTCAGAGTTCAAAACAGAAGCATGGCGGGGAGGGGTCAAACGGAAGAAGGCCAGAAGCAGACAGTGTGCAAGCAGGTAAGACAGTCAGGAGTCAGCTGTCTGCCCAGCATGGAAGTTTAGCGTTATCATTAAAGGATACACATTTTGTCCAGAAACTGTCCTGGATTTGCTGTTGTGTGTTGGATTTATCAGCCACTGGAATCTCCCACGGCATGTTTCCTATTTCTTAGACAAAAAACTAGGTCCTTGGGGAACTCCAACACACCCCCCAAAATAGGGCATAAAGAACAATGGGTGGGCTAGCTCAAGGCCCTAAAACAGGGTGTAAAGACAATGGTGACAGTCAATATATAGAAAGGGTAAGTGGTCAGTGGCCAACTCCTGATGGGTCAGCTCAGGGCCCAAAAGCCAGACTTAAGGACAACAGAGTCTAGTGGTCCATGATCAGGAGGACAGACTAGAGCAACTTCATGACTTCCTTTCCACAGGAGCTTGCCCGGAGTGCTATTCCCCTTTCTGCCAGTCAGTTTTCAACCGCAGGAGTGCTTACACCTATATGCATATTTTAGCATTTTACACAACTATTTCTGTAAGAAATTGATATCAGCTCAAGACCCCCAAGACCAAGTTCTCAGCACAAAGGAGATTTATTTACCCGGGAGGGACAGAGGGCAAGGAATAAGAGACAAAGACAGAAGCCAGGAGATGAGGGAGAAGGGGAAGGGAACAAGGGAGAAGAGGAAGGGCTAATTGTCCTAGAAGGCATAGGACTGCCTCTGTATAGAGAGGAGACAGACGTGGTAGGGTGAGATGTTTAATTTTAACTGGGCATGTTAATTACGTGAACCAAAGGGGTTTGGGATTGTTGGACTTCAATACTTTGATAGCTGGAACTTGGTGGTGTAACATCAATCCCAATGGAAAGAATAAGACCATTACCATAGTTTAAAGCCAAAATTGAAGCAAGCTTTTGTTATGCCCAGATCACAGGGACCCCCAAAAGACCACCACAGAGACCAAATCCCATATGTAAAAGCAAAGAGCCTTCATTTCAAGCTCAGAGCTTGAACTCTGTCTGATGCAGTGGTGAGAACAGAGAGCCCCTGGGCCAGGCAAGGTAGGTTTTTATCGTAACAGAGGCTGGGGTGAGGGAATCTCCAGGGTTCAGGACCTTGACTGACTGACATCTGTCTAGGGTATAGGGAATGTTTGGAATGTCAGGTATTTCTCCTTAGATGCTGGCCCTCCCCTCCGTGGGTGGAGTCAGCTTATGGTTTTTCCTGGGTCTGGGTGTTGCCTGCCAGTAATCCTGTCGCAGAAGCTTTGTCTGGGCCTCTAAGCCTGTCATGGCAGCTGTATGGGTTCAGTAAAGAAACCAAAACAAAATAGCTGTATGTTAATGGAAGGGCCATAAGTTCCTTTTACCAAAGATAAGGAGGATGGCTCCTTCTTCTGCAATCAGAAACTTTTCCCAAACCCCTGAGGGAATGGGAGCTTTATCTAAATGCCTGACTTTGGGAAAAGGACTTAGTTTTATTTCTGTTAAGTATGAGCCCTAAAAATACAATTTCTCAAATGAAGCTCCTTCTAGTATCAAGATAAAACAGTTATATGACTTGGTTTATCCAAATACCTTAAGCCTAATAAATTTAGCAAAGACAAAAAAGCTAGCCATACATTCTTAAGCCTGAATAGACTTGAGTACGGAGAAACATCCTCCAAGCCACTGGTTCTCAACTTTCCCAATGCTTTGACCCTTCAATATAATTCCCCATGTTGTGATAGCCACCTATTACAAAATTTACCCATTGTTATTTCATAACTGCAGTCTTGCCATTGTTATGAATCTCAAGGCAAATATCTGACATACAGGTGGTCCTAGGCTACCCCTGTAAAAAGGTTTTTTAACCCCCCCCCCCCCCAAAGGTTCGAGACTCTTTGGAGTCAGAGGCTGTTCCAAGCCCTTTGCCAGACTGCTTAGGTCATTGTCTTGCTGCATCACTGAAGTGAACATCTCAATTTCTGGTTAGTATTTGGTGCTTATGGTTGTGACTCTTAATTTTTAGCCTTTAAGTCCAAATATTAACAATATAGAACATTTTATAAACTTAAAATGTCCCATAGCCTTATAAATTTAAATATTTTAAAAACTTTCTTTAAAAGGTTTAAAATCTCTCAAATGTCTTATTGCGATATCAAAAATAAAGTACCTACTTTACTGTAAGAGGGAGAAAACATGGCATCACCACAATCTGTGTAAGGCAAAACCAAGCTCCAAAGTGCAAACAATCCCAAAGTTCAATATCTGGGATTCATTCACAATTCTTTTGATTCTTTTATTTAGAGGCTTGGATCATTTCTTTGGCCCTACCCTTGGTAGCACATACATAGCCTGCCTGCTCCATTTCATTGTGACTGGTGCTTCTGGTGATCATCACTTGGCCCATTTCCAAAACTGCTAAGGTCCACCATTGCAGTAAGACTCTCTTTGGAGCTCTAGCCCTGCCGTACATTCGCAAACCTCAGCTGTTCCCTACGATCCCTTCAGGTCTTTAAAGCCATTATTACTTATCACCTGGGTGACACTTAAATTACAACATTTACCTGCCACAGCAAGGCACATTCTTGTGTATAAAAGCATTGAGGTGCAGCTTTAATATTTATTTATCAAATACCTTATTTATTAAACACATGTAAACATCTATTTAAATTCTCTAGAAACTTGCTGTTGAACACTTGGCAAAGACATAAGTACTTAGGTGTAAATCTCTAAGTTAATTTTTGTTAATCTGAATAGATCTTTATAACCTTAGTAAAAGATGGTTTTTATCATGATGAGGTCACCAGCCAAGATGGAGGAAAACCACATGTTTGCTGTTTAAAACATGTTCTTCTAAACAAAATTACATACATATATATGCACAGTTGGATCCAAGTTATATCCACATACATACAGAGTTAAAGCTAGCTTATATTCATACATATAGAGTTAAATCCAAGTCACAAAGATGTTCACATACACACACATACATATCTCTATTTTTTAACATAAATATTTTGCAGTGAAGAATCAGCTATTTTTAAAATGAAAACCAACCAGAATTAACCTAATATGCTCAAATTTCAAATTCAGTATTTGCAGAAACCATAACATAGTTCATATTCCCTTTGGCCTTCTACAACCTTCTATGTATCTTCATTTCATTCCCTTGATTCCTCAGACATTTATTTTTGACAAATTTCTCTTTTTCTTTCCTTCTCTTTATTATTCCAGTCTCCTGCCTTCTCTCTTATTTTTTAAACATAGAAAGTTTTACCAAAGTTTCTTGTAGCTCCCCTCAGTAGTCTAGGATATATTGTATACCTACAATATTTTAAACAAGAACAGAAATACATGCATGTACCATGACAAGAAAAACTTTAAATTTGCATCAACACTGTACCAACGTGAAGCATTTAAAACTAGCAGTAGGTTTTCTTCTTCTTCTTCTTCTTCTTCTTCTTCTTCTTCTTCTTCTTCTTCTTCTTCTTCTTCTTCTTCTTCTCTCTTTATTTAACCAGTAATAATTTGTAACCAATCCCTCTAAATGATGACAATTATTTATAATCTATTAGTCCTGACTATCAAAGCAGCCCTGGCTACAGCATTATAACACAGCCTTCATACCTTAGTAACCATAGGCAGTGACACTCCATTCCACCTTCAGAGCCAAACCTTGGTCAGGTTTGGCAGGCAGCTCCCAGGGCAGGTTTTGGAAACCCCACCCATCAGCATGGGAGCCGGAGGCATGCCCCATGGGGACAAGAAGTTGTTGTTAGCCCCAGATTCTCAAGTGCATGAGAGCGGCAGACTGGAAGTGACTCCATGCCCCAGCCAGGCCCCTCCAGAAGAGGGCTCCTGTAGGCCACTCCTTGGCTGTGACCCCAGAGGGGCAGTTCTCCACCAGCCCTGAGTCCCACGGTGCGATGCGCCCCGGTCAGGAGCGCTCTAAGCTCTGCCAGGCACCCCCACCAGCTCCTGCCTGTTCTGCACTGCACAGTCTCCACCCCATGGCTCCCTGTATAGGGGCCTGGCCTCAGACCTATTGTGTCCAGCCCTGCAGGGCTCGTGGCCCACCCTAGTGCCCAGCCACTGGGTGGTGACCCAAGTCTCTGTCCCGGCCACTGATCACCCAACATGTGGCACCACAACCTGCCACTATCTGTGTTCCAGGTCAGAGAGCAAGGAAGCAATGGGGGAGGGGGGTAGGAATACTCTTAGTCTGTCCCAGTTCAACCAAAGGGACCCTCTGTCCCTTCTACTGGCCATCCAGACCCAAAGGCTGTCCATGTACAGTTTCTATCAAGAGTCACAACACACATACAAGCCCAGGCATAAAACACACACACTGTGGCCACATTACTCACACATTTACACATTCATATAGGCAGGATGTTCAAACAGAAAGGCAAATAGAACTTTTCCCAGGGGAGTGGTGTCAGCTGATCAACTCAAAAATCCTAAAATAAGAGCCTACAGTTTTTCTAAGTCAGGAAAAGAATAAAATTACAACACACAAGAAAACAAAACAGCTCTCTTGGCGCCTGGAAACAAAACCAAAAGGAAGACACCAGCCTCATGCCATCCTGTGGAAGTAACTCGCATCATCTATACAAATCAAATTCAAATACAAATCAACCAAAGGGATCCAAACCCGTCCAAAGGACCATCTGCAGGCACTTACACATTTTGGGCTCACTTACAAAAGGATATCCCAAAAGTCCATTTACAAAAGGATCCAAATGAAAGTAAACACAGAAAACACAAAACTCAACACAGACACAGAAACACAGAAAACTTACCAGCTGGCTTCAGGCTCTACGGGCAGTGGTCCCAGTGGGTTTGGGGGAATCCCAAACAAGCCCCCAAGTGTTATACCCAGATCATGACCCCCAAAGACCACCGCAGAGACCGAATCCCATATGTAAAAGCAAAGAGCCTTTATTTCAAGCTCAGAGCTTGGAGTCTGTCTTGCGCAGTGGTGGAGCCCAGGCAGGGTGGAGTTTTTGTCATAGCAGAGGCTGGGGTGAGGGGATTTCCAGGGTTCAGGACCCTGATTGACTGACATTTGTCTAGGGGTATAGGGAATGTTTGGAATGTCAGGTATTTCTCCTTAGATGCTGGCCCTCCATGGGTGGGGTCAACTTATGGTTTTTCCTGGGTCTGGGTGTTGCCTGCCAGTAATCCTGTCACAGAAGCTGTGTCTGGGCCTCTAAGCCTGTCATGGCAGCTGTGTAGTCAAGTTGTTTTGGGCCCCCTACAGCTTTAATTAAATACTGGCCAGGTAGATGGGCTCTGGCCAGGTCTATACCCAGGTTCCTGGGAAATGACCCAGAATCACATATGGCAAGGGCTTAAGAAGGAAAACCCACAATTCATTGCATTTCCCATCAGGTCCAATCAGGGGCAAGTATGGTGATATTTTATTTGTGCTGAAATGTGATTTTATTTGTATGTTAATAAATAAAAGTGCCTGGGGGGTCAGAGCTAATAGCAAGCCATAGCAGAAGTCTGGCAGTAGTAGCAATTGCCCTTAATCCCGATCACATGACAGGCAGATCTCTGTGTGTTCAAGGACACCACCAGCATGGAGAACACACGCCTTTAATCTCAATACCAACCATAGAAGATCTAGAGGTCTGTATAGATGGGCAGTGATGAGGTCATGTGGTTGGGTTTAGAACCAATGAGAAGGCAGAACAGAAAGTCAATAAAAAGACAGACACACAGGAAGTAGGTCTCTTTCTCTGGGGAAGGATGGCAGCGGGTGATAAGAAGGCAGTTTTGGTCTCAGCTCTTAGCTACTGCTCTGACCTCTTGGGCTTTTAACTCTGCATTTGGTTCTGTGTTTCTTATTTAATAAGTCCATTACATCTACGGGCAAGCATGTATCCTGGCATATTTCCTGCCTATGTACCTCCTGCCCACATGTGAGCAAGCACAGCTGGTTCAGACAAGTCAAACAAACTTGTTTAGAAGAGTGAAAGCATGTTGCCTCCAGCATTTCAGGAACTGTCTGTCCTTGGGCAAGGGGCTTGCAGATCAGAGGCATTTTGTTTCATTGAAACTTAAATGAAAATTTGACTCTCACACTTGCTCATTTTCTAAGAGTATATTCTTGCTTCTGTCCTTGCTCTGATTAAATTCCTGAGTATTTTCTAGGACACTGTGTATCAACCAAATTCTCTTTCCACACAGAAACTGATACTGCTTCTGGGGTCAAGACCAGAAGAAACTGACGACCTCCTCAGGACATTGTGACTACTTGGAAGGACCTGAATTTCACAGTCAGGAAGAACCATCCTCTGAAAACACATCTGTCTGAAGCCCTACCCAGGTTTTGGAGGCCCTATAGACTTTGGTCTTGCCAACTCCATAAGCACAGGTGCCAGTTCCTAAAATTAACTTATTAAGCTATAAACAAGCAAGGATTATACCTAATCAGGCCATTAGGGAGGTTGATGCAAGAGGACTATGAACCAAGACCAACCTAGACTACGTATGATAAGATAAATGCATGACATATAGCATTAATTTGATCTTCAGATAAATATACATAGATACGGATGTAAGGGTCATAATAGTCAATCATCACTGTCATCTTGACTGTATCTAGAATCACCATGAAAGCAGACTTTTGGCAGTGCCCATGAGAGTCATTCTGAAAGGCTGAACCAAGAGCAAAGACCCACCCTGAATGTAGACAACTTCATCACCAGGACTGTCTCTCCTGGCTAAATAAAAATAAGGAAATGAGCTGAATACCACACACAATCTCTTTGCTTCCTGACTTAAGATATCATGTGATCAGCTGCTGCATGCTCTTGCCACAACGACTTTCCCACCATGATGGACTGGACCCTTCACCTGTGAGCCAGAGGAATCTCTTCCTTCCTTAACTTACTTTTCCAGGTATTTAATCAATGAGAAGAAAAAAAGTAACTAATTCAGGAAATTTGTATGAGGAATGAGGTCATTGGTATGATAACCTGACCTTGTTAGGAGGAATTTGGGGCTTATTTGTTGAAGGAACATTGGAAGAGTTTGAAATTCTGTGTTATAAAATCCCTAGATTACTTATAGGCAGAACTGAATGGGATGTTCTGATTGTGATGGCTAACATTATAAGCTTAAATTGCTTGAGAGATCTATGAAACAAAAGCACCTCTAACCTGGAATCCCCACTTGCATTCCTGGAATGATGGAGGCTGTTGTTCATATAAGATAACAAACCACGTATTTTTGCTTCTGTAAATGAGTTTGGTTGTTCCAGTTGCACAGGATGTGATCACACGTAGACAGGAAGTACATCAGGATGTGTGCTTGCCTCTGGTTGCTCGGAGATAGGAAGTGCATAGCCTTGTGAGTTTTGCCTTTTTAAGTCCCTGATTTAATGTAATGTAATTTAATGCAATGATTAATGTAATTCGGCACAATACTCTGAGCATGAGTCTCAGGTATGGACCTGGCCAATGTTTAATAAAGCCTCTTATTTCTTAAAATTTATTCAGGGTCAGACTGGTGAATCTCTGAATGACCACATACCCATAACACTGATTAATGTTCAGAGCATCCACAATGCTGACAGAAATGTGGACAATGAAGATGTGATTAGTAAAATTCTGAGGGGAACAGGACTCCCTTGAGAACTGGGCCACAAGACATCCATTGGTTTCATTCTGTTCATGTTCTGAGAATTTGAGTGAGGCTGGATTCAAAAGTCATGGACTGATGTGATTGGCCAAGGAAATCTGAAAATAGGCTGTACTCGGGCTGTGCCATGGTGACCGCTCACCGCTCTTATCCGGTCTCCTGTGAGAAAGCACAGTGAGCAGAACAGAAAGATATAAAAACATGAGGTTTGCACAGAAGGAGCGTGAGAGTTTGAAGTGGCAGACAGGAGGGTGAGGAGAAAACAGCTGTAATGCTCAGGAGATTACCCGTTCAAGAGAAACCTCCTATCCTGGCTGGGACAGTAGGGGAGGTGCCTTGAAGGCAAGACCCCAGCCACCGATGGCTCCACTTGAAACAACAGAAATACATTTGAAAGGAGGAGTATGGACCAAGAATGCTGCTGACAAGGTTCCCCACTGCAAAGTGGTCACCCAGGGAATTGTTTTCCTGGGACGCAGAGGTCATTAGAGCTGGCACAAACCGTCAACAACATCACATGGTCCTGTTTTGTGAGCGTGAAAGATATGAGATTGACTGGGGACTTGGAGGCTTGCATCAGGCTACCAGAAAGCTGCTGAAGCCTGGTAACGTGCTTCAGGAAGGCCTTGAGAGGCTGGTGCATATGGCTGAGAATTTGAATACTTAGTTGATATGGAGACCCCAGTATACTGGGAGAGGCCAGGAAAATGAGATGTCTCCTGTGGAACGAGTCTGGCACAAAGTGGAACTGATTCAAAAAGAGAAACTGTTTGCTGCAAGAAGCCGCTGCAGGGACAAGGCTGCCAAAGGCTGCTGGAGCAGAGATGCTTCTGTCAGGAGCCAAAGGCTGCTGGAGCAGAGATGCTTCAAACCGGAGCCCCAGGTGCGGATACACAGCAGCTGCGTTTTGTTGTTGTTCATTTCAGTCTTGCGTTTTTACTTTTTCTTTTCTTATTCTTCCTTTTTTTTTTTTTTTTTTTTTAAGATTTATTTATTTATTATGTATCCAGTGTTCTGCCTGCATGTATGCCTTCAGGCCAGAAGAGGGCACCAGATCTCATTACAGATGCTTGTGTGGAGCCACCATGTAGTTGCTGGGAATGGAACTCAGGACCTTTGGAAGAGCAGCCAGTGCTCTTAACCTCTGAGCTACCTCTCCAGCCCTTATTCTTCCTTTCTATGCCCACATTATTCCATCTTAGACTGAGATGTTTATTCCATCCTGTAAATATTAGAAGTGTATTGGTATGTGAGTTTTTTGTTTGTTGTATGTTTCTTATAGGACCTCACAATTAAGGACTTCCCCTCACATCTCATGAGAAACTGTGGAGTTAAGACTTTTGAGTAAGTGTTGGCATTGTTTTAAATGATGGCAGGTTTAGAAAATGGATAAATACATTTTGCATTGAGAACAAAATTAGAGCTTGTAGGACAGAGGTAGGATGTTTGTAATCCCCACTGTGCCTCTGCAGGTAGATGGGAGCTGGAGACAGGAGAATCTCTAGATCAGTGCTTTCGCTGTGACCCTTTAATAGAATTCCTCATGTTGTGGTGACCCCCCAACCATAAAATTAATTTCATTGCTACTTCATAACTGTAATTTTGCTACTGTTATGAGTCATGTTAATATCTGTTTTCCGATGGTATTAGGCATCGGAATTAGGCATCACCTTTCCCTGAGAAAAGGTCATTTGATCCCCCAAAGGGATTGAGATCTCACAGGTTTAGAATCACTGCTCTAGATGCTCAAGGGCCAGCAAAAACCAAGAGAGCCTGTCTCAAACCCATGGAGAAGTAGGGACCAATTCAGATTGTCCTCTGACCTCCATGCTCACACATTCATACCTGCATGCATGAGCAAATGAGCTCACACAGATACAGAACTACCAGTAAGTTAAATACTTAAAATCCCATCAGGACTCCCTGTGGAGGTAGATACCCACATTAGAACATTTTATATGGAACAAAAACAACAACAACAAAAATGGGGCTGGAGCGTTGACTCAGAGCTCAAGAACTTGTACTACTCTTGCCAAGGACATTAATCTGGTTCCTGGCACACATATCAGGTGGCTCACAACTGTCTATAACTCCACCCTCTGGGGTATCCGATGCCTCTGGCCTCTGGGCCACACACTCATAGAGGTGGGGGGGGAGAGAGAGACAGAGATGGGGGGGTTTTTTTTGTTTCAATGAAGACCCTAACTGACTCAGGGATGAAGCCAAATTCCTCTCTCCTTGAGTCTACGCAGTATGTATGACTTCTTGCACTGTGGAGTTTAAGTCATAAAGGGAGTACAATTTCTTTTGCATCCCCTCCAAATATACACTCTTGGCTCCAACATACATGTTAAAGGGAAGCCCAAGCAGCCCTGTGGAGAGTCCCTATCTGAAAGGACACAAGATCCTCAGCCACTTGTCTGTCGTAAGAATCAGCCATCTTGAAAATGACTCCTAATGTTCAATGAAATACAAAAAGCCAGTCCTGCTGAGCCCTGCCCAAAGTGTACATTCCTACTTGTATAAGCAAGTTCCGACAGTTAACAGATAGGGGAGGCTCACAGTGCTCCTTAGGACATGGTTGGAATGGACACATGGTCAGCAAAGCGCATGTGTTTGACTTCTTCTTTATGGCAGAATGATGACATGAGCACCAGGTTCGATGCTTGGTCCCTGGCACACAGTCAAGGAACCCCCTGCTGTAAACACCCCACATGAATCCTCTGACCCTTAGCAGGCTGTTAGGAAAGTGCTGAGCACCTGGCTTGGGATCAGACAGACCAAGGTCAAGGCTGGGCTCTGCCACTCACCAACTATGTGTGACTTGAGCAAGTGATTTACCCTCTAAGATCAAATCCCTCCTTGGTGATCAGGACACAAGACTATGACTACAGGAGTCGGGGGAGCCAGCCAGCATTATGTCTGGTGAGTTTGAACCTGCAGATCCTGATACAAGGATTCCAGGTCAAAGACTGGGTTTCAACTGCCAGGCATCTCTTTGGGAGGAGATGCCAGGAAACACCAGAAACACTCCGTGGGAAGTGGGATGGAAAGGGAGACAGGAGTTAAAGGCAGTTTGAAGGGAGTTTGCACTATGGATAACCAGTGCTCAGCTCTGGACAGAGGTCAAGGAACATGAACCTCAGAGTCATTTCTGCCAGAGCGAAGACCTGGGCATGCTCTTAAGGACAGTGTCACTCTGGAGTGTGGAGCATGGGGACTAAGAAAGAGAGCCAAGACACTGACCATGAGCACAGCTAGTGTGGACAATTTCACCACTCAGTGATTCTAACACAAATACGCTCACACACATGAATGCACTCAGACACCGGTACAGTGTATAAACACATTTAGCACATAATGAAGCACACATGTGCATGTATGTACTTGCACAAATGTACATACTCACATATACACTTACACACAGTCAAACACACCCACAGTCTCTCAGGTAAACACACACTGAACTAAAAAGAACACCAGACCCCCAGAACACTAGAATCTCTTGTCCCCATACTATCCAGTAGAAGGAGCCTCCTCCCTGCTCAGGAGACCAACATGTCCCCAGCATCCAATGACAGAAGGCCTAGCTGAACTTTCACAACTAGGCAGTCAGCTGTAGCAGAACCTCAAAGACCCACAGACCCACATTCCCCGACTCTCCATTCATTCACTGTCAGAGTCTCAAAGCCTGTTCAGTGCAGGAAATAAGAGACTTAACATTCCAGGTACAGATTGTCCTATAAAGATTTTGTTTTTTCATTTTGGAAAAATCTATAAAGATTTTTTGTTTGTTTGTTTCATTTTGGATAAAAGATGGGAGCATCAACTTGTAAAAAAGCAAGGCTGTGGCTGGAGAGATAGTTCAGCAGTTAAAAGCACTACCTGCTCTTCTAGAGGACCTAAGTTAAATTCCCAGCACCCACATAACAACTATCTGTAACTCCAGTTCCAGGGGACCTGATACTCTCATACAGACATATATGCCAGCAAAACATCAATGCATATAAAATAAAAAATAAATAAATTATTAAGAAAGAAGGAAAGAAGAAAGAGAGAGAGAAAGAAAGAAAGAAAAAAGAAAGAAAGGAAGGAAGGAAGAAAGAAAGAAAGAAAGAAAGAAAGAAAGAAAGAAAGAAAGAAAGAAAGAAAGAAAGAAAGAAAGAAAGAAAGAAAAGAAAGAAAGGCAGACAGGCAGACAGGCAGGCCAAGGGAAGGGAGTTTTGTGATTGGGACATGCCATTGTTTGTATTCTGACAGCAATGATACCTAGACAATGCATGAAAATCATTCTATCCATTGCTCAGCACACACTCATGCATCAGGCTTCTTTGTATATTGCTTATGGGTTAAGAATGGTTTTTAAATTGCAAAAAAGTTGGAGTAAGAGAAGGGAGTAAGGACAGCATGAACTTGAAGACTAGAACACCTGCAAGTCTGAAATATTTGCTATATTCCACTTTAAGAAAAAATATGACAGTGGTAGAACATGCCTTTAATCCCATCACTCAGAGGCAGAGGCAGGAAGATCTCTATGAATTTGAGGCCACCCTGGTCTACAGAGTGAGATCCAGGACAGCCCGGGCTACACAGAGAAACCCTGTCTCAAGAAGGAGGAGGAGGAGGAGGAGGAGGAGAAAGGAAAGGAGGAAGGAAGGAAGGGAATGGGGGACTGAAGAGATGGCTCAGTGCTCTTCCAGCTGTCCAGGATTCAATTCCCAGCACCCACATTAAAGTTATAGACAGTTGTCTATAACTATATGGGATCCAATTCCCTCTTCTAGTATATAGACATATATGCAGATAAAATGTACATAAAATAAATAAGTAAATCACTTTTAAAAATGAGTTCCAACTCCTTCTATGTATAACAATAAACAGTAAGTAATTTTTTTCAACAATCATTATTGGATATACACTATGAAAGCGAATCAGGTAAAAGTCGAACAAAATATATGTGGTGTATCTGTGATGAAAACTTCAAGTCACTGATGAAAGAAATTCAAGACAACCCAAATGCAGAGTCATACAATGTTCATGGATAGGACGGCTCAATAATGGTAAGATGGTGATTCTCCTCAAACTGATCCTTTAATTACTGAAAACTCAAAATCACAGCAGGACTCTTTGTATGAGTAAAAACACTGATTGTGAAATTTATATGAAAACAAAATGGGCATAGAAGATCCACAAATTATTTAAAAATGAAAATACAGTTGCAGGATTCCCATTATCCATTCAAGACATACTATAAAACTATGGAAATCATCAGAGTATAGTGACCAAAAATTACACAATTATCAGTTGCTGAAATAGCTCACCCCAGTGTCTACCAAAATACCTACTATGTCCTCTCCCTTGCAGACAAGGGTTGCACTCAGAACATTCCCCAGGGAGTCAAACCCAAAGGCCACCTACCACCTCTATTTTTCCCAAAGTCCAAGACCTATGGATGATGAGTAATGCTTCCCCCTCATGGTTTGTTTGTTTTTTTTTTTTTAATTATGTATGCAGCGTTCTGCCTGCAGGCCAGAAGAGGGCACCAGATCTCATTACAGATGATTGTGAGCCACCATGTGGTTGCTGGGAATTGAACTCAGGACCTCTGGAAGAGCAGCCGGTGCTCTTAACCTCTGAGCCATTTCTCCGGCCTGTGGTTTTTTGTTGTTGTTGTTGTTTGGGGTGAGATAAGGTTTCTTTACACAGCCCTGTCCAGGGACTCACTATATAGATGAGGCTGGCCTTGACCTAAAAATGATCCATGTACCTCTGCTTCATAAGTACTGGGATTACAGGTGCGTGACACCATGAGCATCCTTTCTTCTCATGTTCTGACGTGAGTGTCTATGGACTAGAAACTATGGAATCAAGGGTAATTATCACCTTGAGCATCTTAAAGTGAAGACACTATTGGAAGTGGATTGTGCCCATTTAAAATTTCACTTAAGGCTCTAGGACCTAGGCCCTGGGACACAACCAGTCCCCAGGAACCC